ACAAAAAAGCTTACCTTCCTTCTTGTCCTCTTGAATAGGTTTGGATTTAGTGTCAGTGATGTCTTTAAACGAAGCCAGAAAGAGCACCACATCCCCTTTCTCATTCTTAATTGGAACAATGTCCAGCAGGCACCAGAACAACACAGCTGAAAAGGAAGAACACTGTTATCAACATCGTCATACACCATCTCTGGTATATGTCTGAACGTCATTTCGGGGTGTGTGTCTGACTGTGTCTACAGCTCTATAGATTCCATGACTTATTAGTGAGAATATCCACAGTAAAAAGTCACTAGAGAGGGAGCCGGAGCCTTAAAATAGATTGAGCCATTGTTCTCAAGGCACAGCAAGAAATTAACTTATAGCTGAGGCCCCAACTCCTGTGAAACAGAACCTTAGGCAATGGCTTTTTCCCTCCTGACTTACTGTAGGTTTGCTCAATAGCATTTCCAAGCTTAGACAATATCATTATTTGGTCACGGTAGAAAAACCCTCATGGTAAGGACGGACTAGAATGCATTCTTTTAAATAACAGGGCTGTCAACCTCATGGGTGCCATTTTTGCTGATAGCTTTGTTAACATATAAGCACAACACATTACAAAGACAGGACCCTACTAAACACAGAAATTAGGTATCAACCATTTCAGTTGGGGTCTAAAAAAACTTGATTTTGCATGTCGATTCGATTCCAGTCAGGCTGCCAAATCACTTTAAAAGATAATGATATCATACTTATGTTTAGAACCGGTTTAGTCAGCAGAGCCCAAACCACCTAAACCAAATTGATTATACTGAAAAAATGTAAAAAGCTATAGTGGGAAGAACTGCTGCTGAAGAACTAAATACATCTTCACTGTAGCTAAGAGGGGTAAACAGCAGCTAGGTGCTGCAAATCAAATGCCATTCATTATTGATCACCAGTAAATCGTGAACACCTCTATGAATCACAAGTTTTAGCAGTTTGCTGCTCTGGAGCATTGGATGATTGTTAATACAATGCCAAGAGAAAAGGCATCAGCAGTGACATAAAAGGAGCAGTTTAGGGCCATTAATAAGGTCGTGAATTAATAAATTACCCTGATAAAAGTGTTCTGTATTATTATTCAATTGGCTAATACCGATATTTTTCCTCAAAGGGAGCCACATTGGGTTAAAATGTCACATCGTGTTAACACTGTTATGGTAAAAACATTCGCAGCAGAGATGTGGCTCTGCCTTTCATTTCCTTCAATTCAGTTTGGAGAAGTGAATTAAGGGATTTCCCATGGAGTTTCCTCCCATCACTCCTGCTCACTAAATCTTCCTTGGCTGGTTATAACTCAATCACAGGGCTTTTGTCTCAGCACGTATGTGTGTGTGTGTGCGTGTGTGTGTGTGCGTGAATATCCACAGGCATGCAGGGCAAGGCGGCTCTATCAAGCCCACTGTGTGAGAAGGAGCATTCCTGATTGCGAGCATGCAGCGTTCTTTTTTTTTTTTCCAGGCAGACAGACGGAGGACAAACTGAGTCAATCAGCCTTGTTTACTTTCAAGACTCTGCTGTGACAGACGGAAAAAAGAGGGATGATGAAATAAGAGAGCTGACACAGAGATGGAAGCCAGCTCGGCGAGAAACATATAGACAAACAGACAGCAACGGAGTTCTATGGAGATGCTGAGATGTGTGAAGGAAAAATAAAACAGTGTTGGCATCAGAGTACCACAGGGAAATGAAAGGAGTGAGAAGTGAAAGAGAGCAGATAAGAGAAAATGGATGGTAGAGTGTGATATAAGAGTCATATCCACGATGGTATTAACGAAGCTGTGTTTGGGTCAGTCAAAGAAAATGAAAAGAAACAGTTTCATTCTATCTGGAAAAGTCTTTTTCAGTGAGACTACGGCGTCATTTACAATATTTACAGCGTCTGTCAGAAACAACAGCACCACAAGGTGCATTTAACAGCTGTTCAGAGGCTTTTCATCAGATCACATGATGGAGTTAACTCAAATGCTTTAGACTGTAAGAGAGTTTTTCGGTTGTTGTTGGAACTTGGGAACACGAAACAGCAAAACAAACCAAAATGAGGAAAATGAGTCTTTTGTGTTTTGCTGTTGTGTTTTTCTTCTGTTTTGCTTTTGGTGCTTTTTCAGAATTACTGGTATGATTTCTGCTTCTTCTGTGTTTTGGGGAATTGCAAAGCGGGTGTTAAGAAGTGGTCATGTTTTGTAGAATGTTTCATTCTGCTTTTCTGTTTCACAGCTGAGTACCAACAACACAGTCATTGTTCTGATATGCTAAAAACTCTAATGCTGTGCTACTCACTCCATTTGAAGAGACAAGACTGTTTTGTTTAATTTTTTTAATGAAAAAACATTAGCAGCTCCTGCAAACTATGGCCCTTTTCGGAACCAGCTGGAAATTGTGTTTCTAAGTAGGTTATTTGCTACCAACTGGTTTGGACAAAACCTGTGTTCAAAAGGAAGCTGACTGATAGAAATTTGGGTAGATTATTAAGAATAGTCGGTTAGCCTGAATGAGGAACATGAGGAAGGAACATGAGGGAGTAAGTTCAACATAATTTTGTCTCCACTTAGGGATAATAGGTCCGACATTAGTGGGTGCAATGTTAACCCAGACTTTTCCTCTTTTTGTTTCATGCTTTCTCCCCAAACGAGTCCTTCTTTCATAACAAGTACAGGTTGTATGAGAGGAAAGATGAGGAAAATATAAAAATGGTGACAGAAAAAAGGCACAGTCATTGCATTTAAGACGACAAAGGAGTGCTGGCGGAAAATTACTTAGTGCAAATTAAAGCGTTAATGCCTGCCAATTCTATCAGTACAGCTATACGTACATTCAGCACAGCTCTTAAATTTTTAACTTGATAAGAAGTGCATTTAGCTCCGCAACTGTCTTATAATAACAAGGAAATTACATAAGCCATTAGTGTTAAAATATTTGTTTGCCAGTAGGGACAAAATATAAAAACACAATCAATTCTAATTCGCCGAATAATGCAAGGTTCCCATGGTAACACGCAGCCTATATTGTTTTACTATTATGACAGTATCTTTGGTGAGACAGCAGGTTTTCGTATTTAACATATTCCACCAGCTCTGAATCTACATAATGATCTGTCAGTTCAATGCTAAATTATTGTGAAAACGCATAATAAATTAGCTAAGGGATACATATTTTATGGAGTCAGTGATGGAAATATGCTGCTGAATCAACACTGTGTTGTGGTTCAGTCTGTATCATATATATATATGTACACAGAATATAGAATATGTAATACAGAGATATAGATATGAATATATACATGCAGACATTCATGCACTCACATAGCAAAACTATGGCATAACTAAAAGAAAGCTCAAATAAATGTCACTTTGTCACTGCAAGTAGTAAATCCACTGGTGCCTTCATTTGCTCATCATTTTATGCTAATTTATTTTTGCTCGCCAGCCAGATGTCTAATCACTGAAGCACACATCAAAACCACTCCACACCACAGCTAGATATTGGATTTAGTGTAAATGATAGAGACAGGTATAAGCAGCCATGAGAAGATAGCTATTAAAGTTTAATGTGTCTGGGAGTTAAATAATAAGTGGAGGACATCTCTCACTAATGGCTCAGTTTAATCACAGTTTAATGAGCATGGGTCAATAAAAGAAGTTTTATATCCTTTCTCCTCGTCATTATTTCATTTATCCATTAGTCCATATGCCAATCTAAATGGAGATTCCACAAAAATAGCCGCAGAGAACACATTAATGACAACACTGAAGATTTAATTCCCACATGTTATCTAGGCTCTCTCCACATCCCCTAAAATATTTCTCAGCTTGTCTTCTGAGTATGTTACCATTTGGAAAAGTGTGTACGAACACTCATAATCTGTGTCGCACTGTAAAACGAGTGTAGATATGAAAGATGAAAGCAACAGGAGAGTACCGGTCTAAACTAAAGTTATATAACCATCTCTCTTACCTGTCTTTGTGTAGAACATGATCTCATCTTTAAACTCTTTGCGCTCCTCCAGAGCCTTATCAATGCTGAGGATGATGCTTTCACTGGTCTCAGGCCCGTAGAGGAACTTACAGGCACAACTCTTCTGCATGACCTCTGTCCGGGAGAAGCCCGTGAGCTCACAGAACCCATCAGAGCAGTACACGATGGGAAACCCCTTCAACACCTGTGCGTTGGCCAGGATGAAGTTGCTGTCTGCGGGGAAAAGAAAGAAGAAAGGCAAATGAAAGGTAAGGTGAAGAGCAGGTAAATCTGAACCAAGTGGGATAGAAGTGTTTCACATCGTAATACTCATTTTTGCCTCTAGCACAAACTAATGTGCAAAAATATCCCAGTTCTTCTCTCATACAAATGGGACCATGTGGGACTAAACTATGGATACAAAACATACTAAAAAAAATAACAGACTTAAATGCATTCCTGGAATGATGAAATCATGACCCAACAGGTGACACTGCATTCAAATGTTTTCACCATGCCTTCTCTTTTAAAATTGACCGAAGCAAAGCTGAAAAAAATTCTGATGGCCAAATGAAACTTTGACAATGATTTTTGGAAATCATGGACACCATTTTTTCCCGACTAAAAACAAGTGGCGCTATCAAGGCTGTCATTGGTGCAAAAAAAAAAAAGCATATCTAATTGAAAGTGTGGTAGCTTTCCCATCTGAATAGACACCTTGTTTTGCAGGGAAGGTTGTGCATATTTTAAATACATTTTTAAAGCATGGGGTGCATCTATCACAACATTTTTACAAGAAGGGTAGAGGTGCCGAACTGGTCTGCAGTTCAGCCCTTTTGCTTTCTAAAAACAATTGATGCATTATGAAAAGCTTGTATATATGATTATAGGCCTGCCAAGCTGCAAGATCTTATGTCAAGCAAGATGGGACAACAATTATTCCAAAAGGTCAAGCAACTGGTCTTGTCAGTTCTTGGATGTTTAGAGATTATTGCGAAAATAAAAATGAATTTTGCATGGGGGCAAATATCACTCCGTGGCAACTTCATTGAGCTTTTTTGCTGCTGTCAAATTCAAGATGGGGTAAGGTTTTACATGATGCAATATGTATCTTGTTTATCTTTAATCTCAAAATATTGGGCAGTGTATTTGTGGTGTCAGGTGTGTGGTTGGATGGTCATGCATAGATTATGGTGACAGTGCCTGAGTCCAAAACAAAAAATCCCTTTGGGCACAGTAAACTGTATTTCATCATATCGCCTCCCATCCCATTGTATAGCATTGCATCATATCGTATTGTTTTGTATAATTTCATATCATATTAGTCCAAAAGACCAAAGTTGACAGCTGTGCAACAGAACACATCAAAGATATAAAGCAGAGCTCCATTAAAACTAAGCTTTTAAATGCAGTTTTGTGATCAGTTTAAGTATAATTGAACAACAGCGCTATAACGACAAACCTTCCTCATTTGAAATTGTTAATGGATCCATAATGATACCGGTATATTATCCATCAATCAAGTGAAGAACAGCAGATCAGCTGAATCCATCTATTATGGTACTCGAACTCACACAACCATCCAGACAAACAGTCAGTGGTTCAATTTCCAACATAAAACCAATTATTCGCAATGGTGGACAATAAGGATTAGACAGATTCTATAAGAGGTTTGTGTGTGGATGGGGGTGTGTGCTTTTAAGTTTGCTCTCATATAGATAAATAAGCAGACACAAAAAATAAGAAGCCAGAGAGTTATATTAGTGCAAGCAAACATCTAAAGCTGGGAAATTGCACAAAGCAAACATGCATTCGGAGACAACTGTGCAATTACAGTAAATACATGGACTGCATACACATAACTGAACGCTCCCGCACACAAAGTGACACGAATCTCTGTGACATCCCTGCTATAGACGTCCTGCAAAGTGACTTGTTTCCATTACTGTGTTTTACAAAAATCAATTTTCTACACCAATAACTCCCCTTCTTCAGCAACCTGGATGTTTAATTACTTCATGCTGTATGTCAGGCTTTGTTGAACCAAACCACCACAGATTAGAACTGGGAATACCAGAGAAGAGAGCAAAAGATGTTGTACTTGTTTCTCGAGAGGAATGAACAACATGCTTTAGTTGTTTTTAGCATTTAGCAATCAACCACCTCAGCATGTTGAAATCAAGGAGACACCTGGTTTTTGGTTAAGATTCCATGATTGTGATACTGAGTTGTAATGTATATCCTAAGCTAAATACAAACTAAGATTTGCAAGCAAAGTAACTTTGGAATAGCGAACAATCACTTAATAATTTCCGTAGACCCTTGCAGTTATTCACATGAGTAAGGCTGAATTTTACACAGTCAAATGCAGGTTATAATCATTATCTTCATTTTTAACAATCAATGGCAATAAATTCTTTAGTTCTTTTTTTGGAAGTCCACATCTCAATGAAATGGTTGTTTGAATTAATTCCCTTTTTTTAAATGGCAGATTTGATTCTCTGGTATTGGTTTTCAAAGGAAAACAATAGGAAGACTGTTCTAATCTGTGCAACATAAGTTTAGTCACACAACTAATGTGAGTTAGAGGCGCCATCATACTTTTGAACATGTCACAATACCGGGAGTTACTGTTGACCATCTTCAATTCAATCGAGGTGATAGAAACTTCCCTGAATTCCACGGGAGAAATGGGAGACAATTTATCTTTTTTGGAGACTCCTATCCTTGTCTGTTGATTTGAAGTTTAATTGTAAAGCTATGAGAGAAGAATTGAGTTAATATCTAAGCAATTCTTTAAATTCTGAAAAACAATCATTGTGACCCATTTAGTTTTTTTTTTTCCTCTAGAAGACACCAAAGTAAAATGACCTGAGGTACCTTCCTGGCTGCTGTAAAAGGAGGTGATGAAACTTCTGTTAGTCCTGTCTTTTTTTTATTTTACCGTACACTTGAACATCTTTTATAAAGGAAAAGGAGCTTTTTTGTTCTATATTTCAAAGTGGTGCACCTTTATAACAGTTCACACCAAATAAATCTTTGATTACTGTCATACATTCGTGTTGATCAACGTTAGACTGTGATGAATATCTTCTTCATCATCTTTATCACAAAAGTATTGATAAACTAACTTTGACGTTTAAATCATTTATATTAGTTATCATGGACTTTTTTTTTGTTACAACAGCATCCACTGTCCAAGGTTGCCTTTTGGCTTTGTTTCGGTTTTTAAATCTGATTTTTTTTTGTTGTGTGCAATAATTTTACACATTAAATGATGAAACAAGAATAATGTGTTTGCATGTATTCAATAAGCTGTTCAGATTTATCACAGATGAGAATGGCACAGTGAAACGGCTGGTTTTTCATGGAAGTAAAGTAAAAAAAACAGTTTCAAGTCAGCAGTAATGGCTGACTCACTGGATGACCCGGACAGATGGCTGGAGAGGGCCTCAGTGTTGTGACGGGCTGTCAGATGTGAGGCCCCTCTGGCTCAGGGCAGAGACAGAGACAGAGATTCTCGGTGTTACTTGAAGCCTCAGCGAGTTAAGAAAAGACCTGCAGTCTGTCTGGTAACACATCCTAAAGCACAGAGGGTGCTGTTGCCAGAAACTAATGCTTATAGAGAAACATCCCATTCTCAGGAGTCTGACCTGAGCTGACTGAGTTTCTATTCTGAATGTATGTGTGTTGTAAGGTGGTGGAGAAAAGGTAATGTAACTTAGGGTTACGAACAAGGCAAAAATGGATATGTTCAAGTACAGAAAGAACATTACATTAAAATCAACCTGATCACCATTTGATACTGTAGGTCCCTGCATCCGGGCTCATTGAAGCTTTTTTTTGGATGCTGGCTGCCTGCTGTTCTGTTCCCCCGTCAACCCCACACCTCTTCAATATTGTTGAGGTCTGAGCTCTGGGGAGGATGTATTACTCTATAAAACCTGTTCTTACCTTTTATCCGTGTTTGCCTTCCTTAAAAATGGCATGTTTTTTATGTTTTAAATGAACATGGGCCACTAAAGTGGACACTGGTATGTCATGCGATAACAAAAATGTCCACAACAATTAAGTGTTAAAAAGAAGCTTAGATAGATTAACATAAATCAATAGGTTGAGTGAAAAAAGGGATGAGATGATACTGAATATTATAATAGGATGAGAGTTGCATGTATTTCAATAATGAGAAATCTTAAAATTTATGCTGTCCACTTCAGTGGACATCTGGAGAAGTCATAGAATAAACACATTTTGACAAAGACAATTACGTTTTTATGCCTTTGGAAAATAAATCCCGACTGAAATGATCAGAATTCTACATGAAAGGGTTAAAAAAAGAAGAAAAAGTTCTATTCATGTTTAATAATCCATATGTTGGCAACTTCACCTGAGACAGCAAAGAAAATCAATCACAGAATACTGTAACAGAGAAAATCAGTTATACCTCAGAATGGAGCAATCACTGCACCCCTGTTTTGTTCTGCTCTCTGAGCTCTCTCCAGCAGTAAAACCCAATCTGATGTTTATCATTGCCCAGCGTTTTAGTTAAGCGCTTTATCTCTTCTTCCCCACCTGCTACCATATTGTTGTCTTTGGTCCGTAAACTCCATCCATTGCAGAGTTTTTTGGGTTTTTTTTGTTACTCCACAGTGTCAGGTTATCAAATTCAGTGCCGGGTAAATGCCATGTGTGTGCAAATATTTTAATGGAGCACATAATATTTCATTGGTAAAATGTTCCTCTCAAATGCGATTTATTTAATTAGTGAGATCCACTGCTCTGATCAATGTTGTGCCAAAACGTACAGTTTGTTCAATATTTTTCAGTTGAATTTTGAGGGAAAAAATCTTATGCAAGGCGACACAGTGGTGGTTAGCACCATCGCCTCACAGCCAGAGGGTTTTGGGTTCGAGTCCCTGGGGGAACCAGGACCTTTCTGTGTGGAATTTGCATGTTCTCCCTGTGTCTGCGTGGGTTCTCTCTTGGTTTTCTGGCTTCCTCCCACCGTCCAAAAACCTGCACGTTAGGTGGATTGGACATTCCGAATTGCCCTTAGGAGTGAGTGTGTGTGGTTGTGTGTCCTTGTGTAGCCTTTCAATGGTGCAGGGTGAACCCCCCCCCTCTCGCCCAGTGAATACTGGGATTGGCTCCAGTCCCCCCCATTAGGGAATAAGCCGTAACTATAATGGATGGATGGAGAGTCTTATGCATCTCATAGCAATTAAGGTTTGTTTTTTTAGATTTCATACTATACTGGGTAGTTCTAAGTGAGAAAGAAGCATTTTACGAGCTTTCAGTCAGTCTTTTTTTTATTCTTGTCCTTTATATAAAATTTCCCATCTCCCCCAACCCAACCCCTCCATCTACAACTGCCCTACTTTCCTTTTCCCCTGTCCTCCCTTCTTGCTGCCGTGCCATCATTAAGTCCAGCCTTACCTCCAACATCTCTACATTTTTCTACCTTTACTTTGTTCTTTCCTTCCCAATGGCTACCTTTGCCAATCACTCAGTCTGTAGGCTCCATGCCCTACCCTATCAACCTTAACTTTCTCCTTCCTTTCCCCCCCAGCTGTTCCTCATGTCCCTCCTACCATTTTGGATCTTGCTACCCAATTACTCTTCATCTCTTTCTACTCTTGGACTTAAACCAGATTCCCCCCTTCTCCCAGATCCATTTATTTCCTTCACTCTTTGCCCGGAGTCACCTTCTTTACCATCCACCATCCCTGCAAAAGCTTTGGGTGACTTTGTTTACTTTTAACTTTGCTCTTAACCCTAAACCTCTTCAACAAAAAAAAGATCTGTTTCCACATTAGATTACATCCAGTCATTTTCTCCCACCGTGTTGCTCTCTTTAATTTCCCGTTCCCCACTTCTCTCTTCTGTTCTGCCCCCTTCATCACCTCAAACATTTTTCTTGTGTCTCCTCCATTCTGATTTTGTTTTTGCTAATTGCTCTGACTCAGAGGCTCATAGATCATCTCAACGTGTGCTCACACTACTGTATGACAGCTGCTGGGGAAACCCCACAGGTATACAGAGAGGACAAAGAAAGGGAGCAAGATGACAGAAGAGGTGAGGAACAAGAGAAAACAAGAGCAAGATGGGAGAAAGGGGAATATTTTTGGAGAGCTTTCTCATGTGGAAATCAATTTAAAAAATATGTGTTGCTTTGGACTAATTTTAGACATTAATACAAAGCATTTTCAAATCCCTACCCACTCAATCCCATTCAAAATCGCGGGGCTGATCACCAGTCCCTGACAGAACCACGGAGACAAACCGCTGTGCATGCTCAGACTAACTCTAAGGGTCAATTTAGAATCAATAATTGACACGCGTGTTTGGACGGTTGGAGAATTCTGAAAGAGAACTACAATGGGACATACAACAAATGGACACAGAAAGCCCTCAGATGGGATTTGAGTGAGGTAACAGTGCGTCTGTCTACACCTAATATCAAGCCTCCTTGCAAACTGAAACAAGAAAATATTTCACAGTTTTTAAACTGCAGACTTGAGGCTCTCCGAAAACAGCCATGTTCCCCATTACTCTCCCATGGGACACTTTTCAATTTAGGACAAGACTGCCAAAAGACCTCTGGAGATTTTAAATGCCACCGTTCAGAGGGTCAAAATGGCCTCTGTGACTGTGATCGTCACATTGTTCAAAGAATAAATAATAGCCCTAACCACTCTTTCCAAGTAGTATTATTTTAACAGTACATGAAGTATCCAGCGCTTCACTTCAGTCACACACTGATGAACACATAGATGCCAGCTTGAGGCTTAATGCCTCAACCATGAACACTTTTGGCTCATGGGTAATACCTAAACTCAACCAACCAACATCCAGTTAGAAGACTTTCACTCTGCAAACTGAGCAACAACTCTTACACAAATTACTTTAAATTATTTCTGCTTTGATGAACGACTTCTCATATTTGTCCCATTTCTCTCCTGCCATCTGTTGGGGTGTTTGTTTTTTTTAGAAGATGCTATCAGGGGTCATATCTGAGGGTATGAAAACATGATCAACAAAAGCATATCGACAGAAGAGCATGTTACTATTTCGAACTTGAGATGAGCTCATCCCTCCTCTACATATACTTCATGAAATGGATGTATAAAAAGCTCCCCTCTCAAAAAATACCTGGTTCAAACATTCACCAGCTCCTCAACAGCCTCACTCTCTTCTTGAAGTACCCCTGGGGCTATTTTAAGGCGCGACAAAAATTCTCATGATGGGCGACCGAGCACGGGGATGCAACTTACACACAGAACGAGAGATGGAGGGGCATGGGAACAGAAATCAGCAGACCTGCACAGCGGGGCCGAGAAGGAGACGGATGGCAAAACAGATGAAAGAGTAAAAGATGAGGAGGATGTGGACAGGTAAGGGGAACAGAAGGGGAAGCTGAGTAATATACCGAGGCAGACAGATGAGGGTGTTCGGGGCAGAGGGTGAGGGGGTGATGTGAAAAGCTGATGGCAAGTGAGATGGAGCTGTGAGAGATGGAATGATGAAAAACGGAGATGGAGTGTGGCAAAAATTGGTGAGGAAGTGGGGAGATGGATGGAAAGACCTCCACACCTCTACTGCATGGATTCAGGCGGGCCTCTGAGAAACCCGCAACAAAGCAAGTTACATAACCACCAAAAAAAAAAAGACGAAAAAAAGTCACTCCACGGTTGCCACAGAAACCACCGACACACACCATAGCAACCAAGGTTACAACTGTACAGTTTTCAGTTTGGATACAGAGTGAAGACAACATATGCCGGTTTGAGATTAATGTCACACACTCTGGGCTCTGTCCCACATTAACCGACTGAGGTCGAAACACACACATGGTCACGTACATCCAAAGTTTTCCTGAACAGCAATAATCCGTTCACACCACGCAACTGGAAAGCGAAAAAGCATTACACAAATCCAAAGCTTTAACAGGTGCTGCAGCCCTTTATCCCACTGTCACCTTGGCTCTTAAAAGAAGATAGTTTCTTCCAGCCAAATTTCTGTGGTTTGCAGGCTGAGCCCCTGCTTTTACTTTTCCGCCTCTCTTTGTCAAATCTGATCTCTCCCTCATAAAGCCTCTGTTGTTTCTTTGGTTTTTCTCTCTGTAAGACCTCACATGACTAATTAGGTCTAAAAATGGGCGACCTGGCCCAGACTTCCTCTGGCAAACCCCCCCCCTTTGTCGATCGTTCTGGACAGTCCATTAGACGTGCTGATTAGCAGAGGATTCTCACTAATTGGGTGGTTTAACAAGGCAGAACATCGTTGGTGACGCCGGGGCTCCCATTTGGAAGTGCCACAAGTCCCTCGCGGAATAAATAGGATCCACATCCACCTCAAAGTTCCCAAATATAATCATGTCCGGCGACCTTTCAGATTCTGCCTGCTGAGTCGGCACTGCTAGTGGTGCCCGCGTCTTCCTGAGTGAATACTTGATCAAAAGCTGGTTAAAGCCAT